ATTAATTACACTTATTTATATTTTAATAATTAAATAAAAATAAATATAAAAAATATATTAAATTAAGTGCGTCCAAATATTTTTTATTATTAAATTACCATTTTGTTTTTGCCATAATTAAATTACCGCGTTTGACGTTGAAAAAAAGTGAAAGTGAATGGAAACAACCAAGAGGGAAACTAACCTGCAGGTGAGGGCTACACTTCCTGGCCCGTAATTCCCCTTCTTTTTCAATAAATAGACGATGATAAAGAACTAGCTAATTTGTAAGAGAACAAATCACAGCGATTGACCATGGCTATTTCTTTGTCTCGATTACAAAATTTGCTCGATTCAAATGGAGGCATGTTGATGCGGATGGTTTTGGTGTTTTATCCGTCATTCTCAGTGCCTTATATCGCTCGAGTAATACTCCTATTTAATGCGATTGCAGAAAAAGTGAATCATCTAGTGCTGAGACCTCTTCAGGGTTGGATTGTTGTGGTGATGAGCAAAATACAGAAAGCTCTTCTGTTGTATTGGCAATCTACAATGAGCTCTACACTCGATCCGATTGTAGAGAAGATGAACAATGCATGGGAAGATCTCATGCTGTATTTGCTGTCGAAGGTGAGAGCTGTGCGAGATCGGATTGCCGGTAAGATGAAAAATGTATCGGAAGCTCTTGAGATGCATCTTGCCGATGATGCAGAAATGGGTCAACCGAAGGTCAAGCTGATTGGCAAGCTTGCCTTGTTATCCACATCATTTTTTCTGCAAGAATCAGAATTACGTTTTAAATATGATAAAACAGGAGTCATCACAATGTGTTTCATCATTATTTGCTTGAGCCAACTAACATTTTCCTATTATTGGAGTAAAACACTCGAAATCCTCTATCAGAGGTGGGGTTGCATGTCAAATTCTAAATCGAACTTCACTTGCTTTACTCTAGCAATTTTATTCGAAAAAATTTATGATAATTCTTTAAGAAACCTTGGTGCTGCATTCTGCATGGCTATTTTTATTCTAAGTCTGCAGGTGGTGTTACGCCCACCAACAGATCTCGGCTTCTTTGGATTCATGCTAGGAGTCGTTGGATCCATTACTCGCAACGAGTTTGGATTGAAGTATCCCACCTGGATAATTGCCTGTTTCTGTTTTATGATGCTTGGTTTCAAGAGCTGGTTAGATAAGCACTGGTTGGATTTTGAGGAAGATCTGCCACAGCTCTCTGCAGATACTAATAGCATAGGAAGCGCCACCATGATTACTTCTCTCCCATCCACCTTGTACTTCGTTACTGGTTGCATCTTCAAGCCAACTGGTGGCGATGCCAGCAGTCTATTAAGAGCAGTGTGTATCTTCATATTTCTCTGTAACCTTTTTTATTTTAGGGGTATAATGTCTAGGATCGAAAAGCACACACCTAATGGTATACTATTCCCCACCAGGGTTGGTCTTCTAACTCGCTTCACGCTCTTTGTGCTTTCTTCGATTGTTGTAGATGTCATATATTCTTCCATTTCTTTTACCCAACCCTTTCCAATGTTTAAGAATACACAACATGTAAACCCAACTACAATGCACTATTTAAAGCATTAAAACACCGACCTTCCTGCCCCTTGCTTTCTAGCACCTCCATTGTAGAAGTGTTATTTGTGAAAAGCTCAAGAGTGTGTGACAAAGTTTTTATAGAAATACTTTCAAAGAAAAAAATGTATTTGGTAATTTTTTTTTTTTTTAAATTGTAATGTAGTGTGATACTTTATTGAAATGATTAAAAAAGACAATTCCACTTGGTGACAAATAAGTACTCAAGTGGCTTGCCTTTAATTGGGTTCTTATTAATGTCAGGCTCTTCTTGAAAGTTCTAATATTGATACCGTAACTTTCGTCCTTTATTTGTGGAAAAACAAACCGGGAGCCTTCAATGGGAATGGGATATTAAGTTATCAACAATTTGTGGCTTTAATGGTGCGTCCACATGTCTTCTAATGGATTTTTTTTTTCCTCGGAATGGTAGAAGGAAATATGAGGATGGTTAAAAATTTTAAATAAACAAAAAAATTAAAGAAGTTTCTATTAACTTTATCCTAACATTTTCAACAAGAATTGTTTAAGGTCTGCTTTAAAGAGAAGTAATTTTAAGACCTGCATCGGTGCATCATAATTGAATCTTTTTATAAATATTTTGCCTCCCATAAAAGTATAGCTGATGGAGAAGTCCTCATGCATATACACCACAAGAAGACTCCAATACCTATCAAATGCAGTAAAACTAGCCGCACTGGTTTGTATATATAGATTATTCAAGAACAAAGTTATGATATCTGTAAGAATCACTCCATTGTACCTTAAATCCTAAAATGAGCAGGGAACACGTAAATTGCGCCAAAGCTTCAAGATAGGGACTTTTTTGTTGTCAATTATGGCTGGGTAGGTTGGGTTTAATGTTAGAAGAGGGTTTTCGATGGGAAGTTAGACATGGAAGTTGTGTGGTTTTTTGGGATAATAAGTGGGTGGGCGATAAGTCCTTAAAAGATTTATTTCTGAAGTTGTTTGCGTTAGCGATGGTTAAGGAGATGCTTTTGAAGGATATAGGTTCTTGTACGTAGTGCCGATCGTTGGGTATGAGATTGTAGGTGGAGACGAGATTACACTAGAAGAGCTGGTGATGAGGAAGAACAGTTTAGGGAGATGGTTAATGGGATTAAGCTAAGAAATGATAAAGTTGATTCTTGGAAATGGGTTCATAGTAGTGATGGTTTATATTCTGTAAGGATGCTTAACACCTAATGGTTCTTTTCTTTATAAGAAATGGTCTAGAATTATTTGGTGTAAGTTTGCTCCTTCTAAGTTAAGTGTTTTTGGGTGGACATTATTTTTGGATAGGTTGGCAATCAAGGATAATTTAAATAAGAAAGGGATTGTTTTGCTAGGGGAGAGGGGGGATGTTGATTGTGGGTTATGTGGTGAGGGAGTGGAATAGTTACAGCATATCTTTTGTGAGTGTAAACTGTAAAGGGGAATGGTTTGTGTGGGTGAAGGTGTTGGCATGGTGGGGTTTGCAGAGTGTTTTGCCGAATGATATTTTTGGTTTGGCAGCCTGTGGTGCAAGGTGTAAGTGGGGATTGTTTGGTGGATTTAGGAGCCTTCATTTTTTTAATTATTGCTTGGTTTATTTGGTTTTGGAGGAATACGAAGGTGTTTGGGACAAAGTTGATGTCTGAGGTGTTATTATTGGAGTTTATACCACTACAAGTAAAATGCCATTTACCAACAGAAGTCTATACTGACAGATTGAAATCCGTTTGTATAGACAGGTCTATACCAACGGAAAAATATATCCGTTTGTATAGACAGGTTTATACTAACAGAAAAATATATCCGTCTGTATAGATAGATCTATACCAACAGAAAAATATATCCGTTAGTATAGGTTTCAGCCGGCTGTCCTTATTTTCCCTTCCCTCCACATATTCCCAATTTTCCTCCCTACATTCCAAGTTTCCCTCCCCAGCTAGACCTAATATTTCCCTCTCCCAAATCTAGTTCGACTCCAACCTTCACTAAAATTCATTTCCCTTTTCTCTCTTCTCTCTCCTATTCTTTCCCTTTTTCCTTCTCGCTGTTCATACCATTACCGTCCGATCAAAGGGGCCAGCCGACGTTCTCTTTGTGGGACAGTTCTCCAATAGCGCAAATCTGACATTCCATCCAAAAAATTTGGTTAACCTTGACGACTTTTCGACTTGATCCAGCACTGGGGACCTTAGATCCATGTTTCAGACTCCGATGACCCTTTGGTGGAGCCGACTAGTGTGTGCCTGCAGGACAGATCGGATGCTAGATCGAGCTCAAACATCATCGAAATGTTCTGTTTTCTACTGATTCGTAACGCTGACCGCATTTCACGGCCACGATCGGTGTTCTTAGGTTTCTACTGCGCGCAGTGGTCCATAGTGCCAACCGAACAACTACAGATCTGTCTTCTGTCAAACCCTAGCTTGCTGGAGGTGTTTTTGGAGTGTCAGACACCAACATAAAGGGTAACTCACTAATCCTTATATTTTCATTTGTACTTTCAAGTTTCTATTTATCACTTCTCTCTATTATGGAAAAAATCTTTATAGAAACCACAATTATTAAAGCATATGTCCTGCACCATTTGTATAAGAAAAAAATTGTAATAAAACAAGGCTAACTGCAGATGAATTACTTTCTATAATTTAGCATAAAAGTGTTTTGTATCTCTTTGTTGGGTGTTCAGTTATTTTGGCATGCTTCAATCTTCTTAAATTCCTCTGTAAAACTCTTGTATTCCAGACTATATTGCAAAGGATATATATCAAAGATCCTTTCTCTTTGTGGATTTTCCTTGTATTCCTTTAAATTATGTTTATTGGTATAATTTGATGACAAGTTTCATTGATGTGATAACAGATCCTGGCGCCACCAGAGACGGTTCTGGATGTTTGCTATCACTTCGCTACCTAAATCAGGTGACATAATAAAAGATCAATTAGTACTGTGTCGTAGTTGGTTTTCTGTTCTCATATCTGTTGGTTTTTTGTTCTCATATCTGTTGGTTTTTTGGTTGAGATTATTGTTTATTGGCTAGATTGTGGAAAAACTAGGCAGAAAAGCACCTAAGTTATTTTAATAAAGCACTACCATAAAAAACTGAAATAGTCTCATTTATGTTTTAAAAATGAGGATGTTTTAGTTTTTTTCAATGGAAATTAATTAAAATGATTTAGTTTTAAATATTTTTTTGTCTAATTTTCTATAAATACTGTTGATAAATATATAAATATATATTTTGGTTACTTGACTATTAATTTGTTAGTCATTTGAAAAGATGTGGCAGCAGAATACTAATATGATATCAATGGAATTTGGTTTTCTGTTAAATACCTTATTACTTTAATGCAAGATTAATACAATGAGAAGTGAAAATTTTGGTCTTTTAGCCTTCAATTATTCAACAGGAACTACATTGTGCTATCTCTCTAGTAATGGGCTGTTTCAGGAGCTTCATTGGTTTAAGAAATCTTATGGGTCATGGTTCTTGGGAGACTATGTTTGTGAAGGTAGCTGTTAACTTACAAGAGTAAAAAATAAAAATAAAGAAATGAAATAAAGTCTGAGAAATTGTAAACCTTCAAAGCCTCAAAAAATTATTGAAAGTACTAAGATTTATGTTTCATGCCATACATTTTACCTGATTACTTGCTTAATCTTCCTTTTGTAGTTGATGGGGGTGGCTAAAATATTTAGGTTATCCCATAAAACACTCTGGCCAACATAAGACAGTTAATATTGGTTTGCTTGTTCTATTTTTGTATCCAGATGGCCGCTTGTATACTGCTACTCCAGTTGATCCAGTTTTCATATTGCTGCCTATTTTTGAAGAAGCAATAATGAAGGTACAGCTGTTATAATTAATACATTCATCAATCTACATCTTCATTTATTTATGCAGGTTTAAGCTTTTCCATTGCTTAGTGCTCGGGAAAATCTTAGGACCTGGCACCATGGGTATGAAGCGCATCTCATCTTTGACTTATTCCAATTTTTTCACTTTTCTCCTTTAGTTCTTTGAATGCTTATATTTGGTTTTCTTGCTCATGCTGATGGAATATTGGAATAAATTCAGAAAGGGGATGATCCTGGAAAGTTCAAGGCATTAGATGAGATACTCTTCGTCAGTGACTATACTGGATATCAACATTTAATGTCCTTGGCTGAGAAATGCATGCATGTTGTCTGTGAAATCAAAGGTTTCCCACTATCTGTATTAATGTTCTTATGTATATGTCTATATGAAAGTGACAATTATGCTAAATATTGTTGTCTAAGTCATACTATCTTTCATTCTGGTATTTGTTCTCATTACCTGATAGTCATCATTACAATGAAACCAGCTTGGTACCACTGGTATCACTGGAACCACTGATAGTCAACATTACCTGATATTCTTTTCCCTTTCCTTTTGGGTTTATTTATTCAACTAATACATTTGCATTTGTTTATGTCGTTTTAAAACAAGGTTCGTTCAATCTTATTCAAGTAATTTTTTTATTTTTCCTCTGCTTCTGCTGTTTTCCTGATGATGATTTTTTAGTGGGAAACTCAATCTCATGTCATTTTAAAACAAGGTTCGTTCTTATTTATGCTTGTTTTCATTGTTTCTTTTCTGTGTTTGTTTGGCTGATGGGAAAGTTGGGGGAGGGGGGGGAGCTAGAGAAAAGCTTTCCTTTATAGCTTTGTTCTCAAGCTGGTTAATTAACTTTAACAATAGAAAAAAAATTTAAGAGGATGAGTTTTCGGGTAATCGGAAATATGTTTGTTGGATGAAATTATTTCCAGTGTTTCGTTGTTTGGATTCATGGAGAGTTATGATTGCATGGATCAATAAGCTTTATACAAACTGTTTCCTCAAATTTGGTGTATGGTACCTCTGGTTTCTGGCATATTAAATGTTTTTTTTTTTTTAATACGTGTTTTGCTCTCTAACCTTCCTTCCTTTCCTTTTGTTGATTTTCTGGTTGAGGATATGTTTTGTCCAACATTTTTGGAACTACAGTATCTACAAACAGCAATGTTGAGCAAAGGTTGAGTGAGGGAGAGAATATGTTGAGTGGATTAATGCAGCTAATGAAGGCAAGATTCCCTGACGAGAATATCACAAATATTCTACAAGCTGCCAACCAATTAGTTGCTGCCAACAGATTGGATAGAGAGGTAAACTTTTTTGTTGAACCATTTAATTGCTTTGGGATGCTATTATTATTTTAGTTTTCTGTTTTCACTACTTCTTAAGAAGTTCTTTGTATTCTTGCATAAATATGGTTAGGTAGATGATAAATAGATTTTTCATTGGGAGCTTTGCTGGGACAAATGTGGTCATTAGTAGAAAAAATCAATGGAAAAAAATTTTTGAGCTTATGTTTTGTCCTTTTTTTTTTTAACTCTTCAGTCTTTTCTTAGGTTCTCATCTCTTCTACTTTGGTTTTTGGTGAGCTTATGTTTTTGTTCTTTTCAATCTTCATGGAAATCTGTACTCATTGAATTTTATTTTTCAATAGGCACATGCACCCGTCAAGAGGTATTTAACACTCACTCATACCTCTTTGTTTTGGTTTCACTATTTTCAAAGTTTAATCTCTCAAATTTTTTTTTTTTCATTTCTTTTGATTGAATTTTTGAAATTTTAGTTATCATTGAGTTTCTTTCTACTAAATTGTAGGTTTTGAATGCTAATAGTGGGCAAGGTTTTTCTCCAAATAATGGTTCCTCTTCACATTCAAGCCATCACCTTTTATCTCGCCAAAATGAAAGTAATGAAGAAAATGAAAGGCAAAGGGATTGAAAGGCATGTTTGTATCTTTTCTTGGATCTGTAATTTCTGGCAATAAGCATTTAATTGAACTTCTTTGGATTCTACAATTTCTGTTTTTGCCTA